ATCAGAAGAGATTTTTTTACAATCTGGCATTTCTCCAATTGGCTTTCCAGGAAAGGAAGAACAGAAATAGATTTAAAGCAAGATGATTGACAACACTCGTTAGAAATGAGTTCCCCGAATAAAAAGCACTGCATTCCCGCAAAGTTGTGTTTCAGCATTTACTAGGTGTCCATCATGTGTGGGGGAGTTGGGTGATTGACAATTGTCAAGTACAATTTCTTGATAAAAGGATTCAACTTTCAGCTTGTATCCATCAAAAAGGCAACAGGCATTTGTCAAACGTTGTTGCTGTACATTTTTCCTGCACCAAAATCAATACAAATACCTTAAAGTGTGACGATAATAACTAGAATTTCAGCTAGTTAACTTCAGCTAACTTTATGCAAGCGGCAACATGGATCGATTTTTAGTGAAGTTACCTAAAGTGAGAGAGGAGACAGCGTCTGGCAGAAAACGTCACTTGCACACTTTTGGCTGTCTGTGGAGACCGAGTTCCCCACCTCGCCAAAAAGGCTGTAAAAGTGCTCATTCCCTTCACCTCCGCCTACCTGTGTGAGTGCGGGTTTTCCGCATTGACTTTGATCAAAAGCAAGTATACCGGTCAAGCAGGGGCGGATCTACCGGGGTGGCATGGGGTGGCAACTGCCACCCTAAAAATAGCCTTGCCACCCCAGCTGCCACTCCGGTTGGAAAGAAAAGTTGTGGCTCATCGGACATTTATGAGAGAAAATCTCTAATGTCCGAGTGCAAGTGAATGCAGCACAAGACGCGAGTCTTGTAACCCCTCCCCCAGCCCTGGCGCGAGAGTGGAAATGTGATTGGCGGCGATTTCATTTGAACGGGACAGCGCAAAACGAGAAGCATTCGGACCCAAGTAGACGGAAGGAATGAGGTATTTGCGGTCTACAATGACAGAGAAGAGACTGTGAAGTTTGGCTGTACTCAGCATTGAATCAAAACGCACTAAAGCTTTAGATCTTAATACGTTTGTGAGGCGTTTTGCTGAACAAATGGTAATCGGCGCATTCAGCTGTTATAGGCATGCCAACCAGCGGCGTAGCTGTGGGTGGGCCCGGGCCCACCCACATGCACGTCTGGCCCACCCACAGCCAATCAGCGCTTCATAGCGCAGAGCCGGGAAGCTCAGAAGGAAGTGCCACAAACTACAGTTCATCTAGTGGCCGACAGGGGATGGATGCAAAAAGGAGCAATTCCCATAGACCCCCATGTTAAAATGCCCAACTTTACAGCAGAAATAAACATGTTTCTAGCCTGGATCCAATAAAACTTATTCTGGATATAGTTAGATTCCACCTTCATGACAATGGAATAGGGAGTGCATTTTTTTACCGTGAGTTTTTATAGTAAGTAAAGTAACTTTTGCCGTGAGTGAATGAAAGTATTATTTCTTCTTGAGGTCTGCAGTTTAGCGTGTACACATTTGCTGAATATGAAAACACTCAGTGTGTGCCCACTGTGCGACTGTCAAGGATATGTTGTATGTATTATTGCTACACAAACATTACATTGCAGTTTAAGTGTCGCCAACTCCGTTTAAGATCTCTCTCCCCCGTCTGTGTGCGAGGGGGCGGGGCAGTTTACACACACCCAGCTGCTACATGCAGCAACACACACACACACACACACACACACACACACACACACACACACACACACACACACACACACACACACACACACACACACACACACACACACACGGAGGAGATGGCGGAGAGAACGCGCTCCGAGGTGTGGTTAAACTATAGCCGTGTCGATGTGGACAATACTTGTTGCCAAAAGTGCAATAAGAGTTTAGCATGTAAGGGCGGTAACACGAGCAATTTGTCCAAACATTTAGCAAAAGTGCTCCACATTCAGACGGAGAAATGCACCGGGTTCGACTGTCTTTCTAGCAGCTCTGTAGCCCCATCCACGAGTAACGTTTCCACGTCAGGTGTTATGTATGCTAGCAGCAACACACCGAGTTAACCACATTATACAAACATGGGTTAATGATTAGAGGAAACAGAGTTATTTATTTAGTTAAAGTTTCAGCTATTCTGTTTACAGTTCTGTCATCAGATTATTTAATACGATTTGTTAAAACATTGTTGTTTCTTTTGATGTGAAATATTATGTATTTAATTTAAATAAAAAGCAATGTTAGTTTTGTTCACAAATTGTTTAGTTAGTTTACCTTATTTTTTTCTCCAAAAGAACCGATAAAAGTAATGTTAAAGGACCGGATCGATAAGACATAGACATAGACATACTTTATTGTCATTTCAACAAGACACAGAGTGTAGGCCTACTATTAAAACGAAATGTCGTTGTACTGGCTTACAGGAACAGGACAATATAAAAACTTGCTAAAATTGTACATATACATAAATAATAGTGACGTGGTGCTGATAAAATTAAAGATAAAGTGTGCGTTTAAAATATAAAGACTTACTATACATATAAATAAAATAGACCTACTATATAACAAATATGTGCTCTTTACACAGCGTAATGTAATCTCTGTGTCACTGGTCTACTTGCTGTTCAGCAGTCTGATGGCATGGGGGAAAAAGCTATTGCAGAATCTGGCTGTTCTGCTCTTAATGCTGCGGAACCTCTTGCCGGAGGGCAGCAGGGAGAACAGAGCATGGTGAGGATGAGGGGGGTCTTTCAAAATGTTCTGGGCTTTTGTCAGGCAGCGTTTCTGAGCGGTGTCTCTGATGGGAGGGAGAGAAACTCAGATGATCTTCTCTGCTGTCCTGACCACTCTCTGCAGAGACTTCCAGTCTTTGGCGTTGCAGTCTCTCGACCGGATGGAGATGCCGCTGGTCAGCACGCTCTCTATGGTTCCTCTGTAGAATGTGGTGAGGATGGGAGGGGGGAGCTGTGCAGGAAGTGTAGGCGCTGCTGTGCCTTCTTAAATAGTGATGTTGTGTGAGTGGACCAGGTCAGACTGCTTGTGATATGCACCCCCAGGAACTTGGTGCTGTCTGTAGTCTTCACTGCTGTGCCGTTGATGTGGAGAGGTGGGTGACAGTGGCTTTTGTTCCTGAAGTCGACAATGATCTCTTTTGTTTTATCGACATTCAGGATCAGGTTGTTGGTGTTACACCAGTCTGTCAGATGTTTCACCTCCTCCCTGTAGGCCTGTTCGTTGTTGTCCCTGATGAGTCCCACCACTGTTGTATCGTCCGCGTACTTTATGATGTGGTTGGTACTGAATCTGGAGCATAAGCGCTATCGATAAAAGTAGTAGTACCGTTAAAGCCTTAACGATACCTATCCATATGTGGATGTCAGTTTTACACACATTCTGAGGCCGCCGTGCCTATGTTTTTTGTTTTCACTGCTAATTTATGCTTATGTTCTATTAGTGCATTAAAAAATCATTAATGAAGTTTCAGCTCAGACCCCACGCTTAATATGTCTCCCCCTGGCCCACCTACATTTCTCCAGGCCCACCCACACAATAATTCCTGGCTACGCCACTGATGCCAACATGATGCTCTGCTCACGGATGACTCGATGAGCATAAAAAACTGTTAAGATGATGACCTTACGTGGGTAAACACATTTTTTTCTTTGTGGGGGTCTGCCCCAAAAAAACAATTTTAAGTCCTGAGAAAGTCAAATAAGACGTGAGTAAAACTTCACTGCCCAGCCAAAAAAAAGTAACCACTTTGATTTAACTAGGCCAGTAGGTAAGGGCGTTCCACTGGATAATAATACCCCTGCATTATAGCAACAACAACAATAATAATAATAATAATAATAATAATAATAGCAATAATAATTGGGAGGGGGGGGGGACGGCTGTTCTTATGTTCTCTGAGGGGAGGCTCACCTTCCCACACTTTGAAAACCCCTGCCTTAAAGGAAACAAACAGTGGATATCTGAATTAATTAGCCCTTTAAAGTCAGTTACAAGTTGTTTTCAATATAGCTCTGAGGTGGCCCCTTGAAATGAAGACAGATTAGGTTCTAACAACTTAATCCGTGTCCTCTGACAGGAGTGTTGCTGCACGGAGACGCTGTGTCCATGCCACGGTGTCTCTGAACTCTGATCATTAAAGCCAGTGTCAAAGCATAATAGTCCAATCTGAAGGCTTCTGGATATTTAGATTGCTATGAACTCTGATGTTCACAAAGGATGATTAAGAGGGAAATCCACCCGGGTGTCCCATAAAATCCCTGAAATCCATTAGATACCTTATTATTTAATAACTCTAAAGTCTTCATGGAGTTATTTTTATATCTGCAAAAGCCTTTTTAGGAAGCAGACATTTTATAACTCATTTAAACATCCGACAGAAAGTAAATTCATTGAAAATAATCACAAGTAACCCACGTCAACTGTAAAAATAAACATTGGAGTATGTTTGCTTATTTAGTTTTAAAGTTATAAGCAGTCTCTCAAGCAATACACTTTTGTGAACACAGCAACCAAGCACCATCTAATCAACATTCATGCTCTGAATATTTAAATAACTATTAAAAAGTTATAATTAACATCACGTAGAGTAATATTTTTGAAATAATTTTTGTGAACATAAATATCAGTGGTAAAAGGTAACTAATTACATGTATTAAATTATTGTATTTAAGTATAATTCTGAGGTAACTTAACTTAAGTACTTCCATTTACTGCTAATTGAGCCCCAAGTATAAATTCACAAGCATCCTGACAGTATAGAGTAATTAAAATAGGCTGCACTTTTACCATCTGCAACATTAAAGTGATGAACACATTAATCATGCAACAACAATTATATTGCAATCACATAATCATTTGAAATGGGACATTCTGCATAATGAGTACTTCTATTCTATATTTTGATGCTTATAATTATGGATTTCAGTGAAATTAAGTTGTAGTAAGCTATACTTAAGTGTAATATCCAATGCTTTCTCCTCTGCACAAAAAGTCTGCAGCTTGATCATTTCACAGCATTATAACTCTATTAAGTTGAACAATAACTACATTCCTCCCTTACCTGTAACATGTTGTAACTTCTCCACTCGGCTTCAGGCAGGGGTACGTTGTCGTGGAAATCTTATTCTCTGAGCACTCTTCACTGTGAAAGAAAACATTTTAAAGTGAGACATTTTTCTCTAACCTTATGGAAGTTTGTGTGCTGCAAATAATTACCCGTCACTGGCATCCTCCTCTTGGTAGGACCAGAGCAGACCTCCTGAGATGTACATGCAGGTGACGGCGAGCAGAAGAGGACTCCTGTTGCGGTTTAGTATCATCTCATCGGTCCAGACACCTGGGTGCTGCTGACAGTAATCCACACTTGCACTGATTACTCCTCACTGCTACAGCTTCAGGGAGTAGTAGTGGTCAGCAGCGCGCGCGAGACCCTCCCTCTCCTCGTGCTGCTGACTGAATTAACTGTCACTACAGCGGCTAGCTTAACTTCCCCAACTCCGTAGCCTACTTTTGACAGGTCATGCCAAGATTCAATACGAGTCAATATGTTCACTACATAGTAAAGGTTGGGAGAAAATAAAGACTTGTGACTTTTATCTTCGACTACATAACGTGTTTGTCGACAATTTGCAAGTAACATATTGAGACTGCGACTGTTGTTACAGTGTTAAGGTAAAACTTGACAGAAAACTGGCTCATAAGTTGTCTGCCTGTGTATAACCCTATGGTTTAACCGCTGAAATACAAATACATCTTTTTTTGTAATGCTCCCTTAAACATATTTTAGCAAAGAAGTTTTCTGAAAAATAAACATATCTTTTATTTTCTTCGTTAAACCGGTGAAAGTGACAGGAACGGAGCAGTTACTTTTACCCCATCTTTCACCCCACGAGCTCTCTGTGCGTCATGACGTCTGCTCTCTGCTACCACCGCGTGGCTGTTACTGAAATAACTCCTCAATAATAAAAATAGATACATATTAAAATAACTACAAGAACAAGTGCTTACCTTCTCTACTATGATAATAATGTGAGAAGTCATGATTTGGATACAACTCTATTCATTCCCGTGTTTCAGTTAAATACATCTGACTAAACCAACACATTAAAAATGCATTGGTGGTCTAATATGAGCTCATTTTAAGTCATTCATTTATTGTACCTCTGTTTGAAGTTGTAAGCACACATTATTCATAAATTGATTTAACAAGATTTAATAAAATATTAAAGGGGCACCTGACATTTAGAGAATAACTTCTCAAGAGGAGAAAACTGTTTCATTTTAACAGTGGCTTTCCCAAAGTTGAAATACTGAGTTCAATTGTGAAAAGTTAAGGATACTATATATAACTTTGGAGCTTAATCCATAATAAACGATATCAGGTTAGCTTTGGTTTCAAGTATGAATGTGTTTTTACTCCAAGTGGTTATATTCCATCCAGTGCTGCCCCTGGCCAAATTGGGCCCCTATGGGAAATGTTGTCATTCATTTAAAAAGCAAATTTGACATTTTAAACAAGCTAAAAATAATCAGACACAATGCAAGAGCATCAGCAGGAACTAAGTACTAAGCAGTAACTTACATGCTCTGTAAACCCAAACTCACCATACTAACTTGCTCATTTAAATCAAGCTTTTTGAAAGGTATACTGTAGATAAGAAAGATTTCCCCCCCAATATGTTGTTGACTATCATTTTGAATTGCCCATGACCTTTGTGTGACCTCTAACAGTAAGCCTGATCTGCAGTGAAAAACTGTTTACTGAATGAAAGGAACAAAATCAAATAATGAATGACTGAATGAATGAAGGAAAACTTTATTGACCTTAAATACATTTGCTTTACAACAATAGCATGAAAGATGATCAAAAGAACATCAACAAGCATACAGGAAACCATATGCTATAAAATAAAAACAATCATAAACACATCATAACAAGCATATATTAGTATATTGATAAAGGCTAATCAGGTGTGTGTTGAAGAAGGTGCCACATGCAGACTCTCTGATCAGAGCTTGTTAGGCAGTTGAATGCTGTGATGGATACATTATGTAAAGCCTTTTAACGTCCACATCATGGGCATGCAATGTATACCTTCCTCCTGAAGATAAAACTTGCAGAATCTAAAAGTTCTTCAGTTTCTCAGGAATGCAGTATGACATTACAGGGAGCTGGAAAGCAGATAACTGGAGAGCCTGTAAAGGATATCCCAGTGAAACAGGAGGACTGCGGTGTCACTTACAGCCACTATGGTATCTTTTCAAACTGTGAGGTCATTCAGGTATGATTTACCTTTATTCAGAATATAACACTGGTCAGAATTGTCTAATCAGGTGAAACGTAATACAGAATTTCCTCTCACATTAATGGTTTACTTTTCCATTGAAAAGGGAATTGTACCTCTTACAATATCAATTACCAGAAAAATAGCACCTTGAGCTTGCTTCAAAGGGCCTGCTCAAGCATGACCATTTCAGTGGAAGGGAAAGCAGTGTTTCACCGATCCACCTGCTTCATTACATCAGAGCCTCTAAGCCTCAGCCACCGTCTGAGGTTGCAGTTCAGTTCCTGGCCACTTGATGGCCCTTTCAACCAAGAGATAGCACCCCCACCTCTTTCGCCACCACCGTCATCATTGCCCACAAAATGGATGACAGCTTTTAGAAATACCAGGGTGCGTCACGACTCTGAGGTGCACATGCTGTGCCATTTATGTTCCACCTGTTTGATGCCTCAGCAGCCGAGAGGCAGAGAATGATCATGCCTTCAACAGCACAATTAATGTCGCAGGCTGATACTGTGTCAAAGCTGCAGGGCTAATAACCTCAAAACAATGTCTGGAAACATCCTCTGCCTTATGGATATCAAATAATGATCATCAATTTCCTGGAAGCAACACAGAACAAAGGAAGCCTTTTTACCCCTTACTGTGTTCATGCACTTTATTGTCTGTTTTAGATTAATTAGTTGTATTATGCTGTCTTAGTTTCTGGGTTTAAGTGGTTAAAGATGGTTTGCTAGGACTGGGAATGTTTATTTGCTTTAATTGGTCCTTTGTTTTTGTGCATCTGGTTTCCGCATAATAAACTTTAAGGACATTTCAATCAAACACCATGATCTCACTACATTCTTTTTCTGTTCTCATTGTTTACCAAACCAGCATTAGTGTTGTTTCCCTGACCTAGAAGGATTCGTTAGAGCACACGTGGACTATTTATTTTTCACTTAACAAAGTCACATCAAGTAAAACTCTTGCCCTATCTACTGCCGTGTTAGGGAAAACAAATGGACCTGAAAGGAGATCAGATGGATGAAAAAGTGATCATGGGAGAATGGACACAGTTGGTAGAGGTTTGTTGGGAAGAAAAACAAGCCAATAAAACTGTCTGTGATGGAACTTGGTTGTTTCTTTTGATTAAGGAGCTGTCTTCTGAGATCTCTACAAGAGGTTAAAAAGGTTGAGGGTGGAGCAGAACATTGCTAACATTGGATGTGATAGTTTTGGGGTTGTATTCCACCAAATGGACTCAGTTTGTTTTTGGGTAAGAGAAAATCCAGAAAGACGTTATAGTACACTGAATAGCTAGCTGCCTGATGAGAATATGTGCTGTGAAATGTGTATGCTTGCTCAATTCAGTGCCTTGTAGGTCGCTGACACTGACATTGTCATTAACCTTTGGAATGGATGCTTCATTCTGCAGCAGTGGAATATTCACGAATATAGCCTGTGTTATCCTCTTAATGCTCTCTCAACACATGGGGTGACAACGAGAATATTGCAGGACACGAGCACCCTGTCATAACTCCCCTCTCTCTGTCTTTCTCTCTTTTCACAGTGCAGCACTGCAGTGCCTCTCTGCACATGCCCAGACAGACTGAGAGAGAGCCACAGCAAGTTTGAGCTCACTAGAAATATTAACAGGCTGCATCACAGACACATTCATGTACTCTTTCAAGCTGTGCATGCATTCTAAGCAAAAGTATTGTTTAATGAACCTGACAATGAATTATTCAATGGTAATTTTGAGATGTTAATATGCATCAAGGGCGACACAGAATCAAACCTGTGACTTTTTATTTGCAGGGCTTTCCTTTGTGTCAAGGTCACTCTGCCTCCCACATGCTTTTTACAAAAACTGTCATAGGTTGTTGACGCTTTAATAGTCTCAAACTACCTCTCTCAAGTCAACGGGTGGACCTCTGTCCTCTGTCAGCAGAACTTCAGATGGCCAGTCCGCCCCTGCCGGTACCGAAGTGGGCCGATCGGAGTGGCTCTACCGGCCCACTTCGGTACGGGCCCATCGGGATTCGTCCGGATGGCCAGTCCGCCACTGATTACATTGTTCACTCTATTTAACTATCTTTATAATGTATACAATAATGCAATACCAAGTTACATGAAACTATTACTAATACAAAATGAGAATAAATGTAGCTGGTTACCTAATTTTAAAACAGTTTTTTGTTGTTTTTCATTTAGAGTAATCCTGGTGGATTAATACTCTTTTTTGCTTGTTTGCCATGGCAAAAGAATATGATTCATTTTGCTTGTTGAAACAACTATGACAAACCATGCAATCAAGGAGGATACAAAATTGTCATTCAAAATCACTACTCACCAAATGACAAAATCGAAAAGACAATAGGAGACATTTCATTTTAGAAGCGACAAATGGGTGTGTTGGTAGGTCTGAAAAGTAGGGAGATCTCTCATACATATACATACTTATATGGGGAAGATAAATCATCCGTAAATTATATTTAATATCAGATGTACAATAAATAAGACCGCCGTTACATTTGTTTGTTTGTATATTTTGTTATTGCCTTAACTTCAATACTACTGTACCTGCTTTATACACACCTATCTCTATTACCCACACCCTTCTTAAGGCTAGATATAACTTACTGATTTATTTTGCACCTCCATCTCTTTATGTATGGACTGCTTGATATATGCGCCCTCATGTTCCTACATTTTGTGTTTTTCTTCACACAGGTTTTCTGCTTTTGTATTTATTCTGTAAATCGTTTACCTTTAAAGCATGTTGTGCTTAAGCTTGAAAAAGTAATAATTAAAGAACATGATAATTATTACTGTTCATATTGTTATAATTCAAAGAAAGGTTGACATTTAAAAGAAAACATTCACACATTCTTAAGGGCAATGAAACTGTGTTTGTTTGTGTTTTGGCTGCTGATCCTCCCTCCATAATGACCATGGAGAGATCCCTTCCCAGTGCAATTTCAAAATAAGATGGGTTGTACTTGAAACAACCAAACCCATAGACAATGATGTATAACCCAGTTTATAATACAAGGAAAACCTATTATAATACATAATGTAGCTGTTCACATCTTATATTTGTTTTCTTTTTTGGGGTTTTACAAAAGTATCATGGGTAGATGTTCTACAGCAAGCCAATCAGGAAAGCAAAGCAGA